AAACAATATGTGATTATGTGTGCGTTTTCCGATGGTCTTAGGCGACCCCTGTGAAAGGGTCGTTCGACCCCCAAAGGGGTCGCGACCCACAGGTTGAGAACCGCTGAATTGGGCTGGAACTGCAAAGTAAACATACTGGGAATAATTAGGAATTGCAAAAAACCACAATTTTCATACTGACTGAAGCCCAGTTTTTTCTTTCTTTGTTTATTTTTTATTGATTTCGGAAGGGAAAGGGAAAGAGATAGAAAATAATCTCGAATAGCTGCCTCCTGCACACCCCCTACTGAGGACTGACTGGGAATCAAACCGTGACCTCTTGGTTCATGGGTTGACACTCAACCATTGAGCCATACCAGGTGCGCTGAAGCCCAGTTTTTAATTGTTTTAACCCCTGATTGTAATAAAATGACTTGGAATTACTACCTTCCAGAAATAAATATAAATTCTCTCACAGAAGATGACATTATCATAATCTTTAAACCAGATCTATAATTTTTGATATGGTTTAGCCAGCATAGGAGATATTGTGTGTCTCAGTTAACTTTAGACAACACAGTGTTTCTAAGATCCAAGAAAAATAATATATAACTAGTCACTCAAGGTCCCTGAAATAAGAGCATTAAGATAAATATGCCTAATATAAGGAAGTGGTTAAGGTAGAGCAAATAACTAAGCCATAACAGAAATAAACCAAATGGAAATTGTAGATTAGTATACAGGTTTCAACAAGACTAAATATGGCTAGAGAGAGACCTAGAGATCTGGAAGAAAGGTCAGAACAAAATATCCAACTAGCTACAGTCTGGAAAAAAGAAAAAGATGAAAGATGCAGAAAGAAAGAAATGTGTAAGTAACAAATGGCATATGATGGAAAGGTATTACATACATGTATTTGGAGGCCCAGGAGAAAGAGAAAATGAAGTAAAAACAATGTTTTGAAGATTTAAAGAGGTAATGGCTGAGATGTGTCTAAAACTGATAAAAACATATTAGTCACAGATTCCAAAGGCACTATGAACACTAAGCAGGGAAATTACCAAAAAAAAAAATACATATAGGCACATATTAGTCAATCTGATGAAAACTTAAAAGTGGTAAGAAAATCTTAAAAATTGCTAGAGAAAAATAGTCTTTTCAGTGGATAATATTATTAACCAAAATTGACCATTGATAAGTAGCACTCGCCCAATTTTTTGTGCTGCCTTGAAAAAGTCCAGAGTATAAATTTACCTTTCTATCAGTTGCAGATATTCACTATTGACAACACCAGTCAAGATGCTGACATTCCTAGAGACAAGCCAGGTAAGAATACCATCTTAGCCAGGTTTGTCTGTGCAACATTTTATAATATGAATACACAAGAGAAAGCATAATCTTTGGCTTCCTCCTTATATCTTATTTTCACTTTGCCTCTGGCCATAGCTTATCCATTTTCATAATTCTGACTGTCAAAATCCATTTGGACTATTCTATTATATTTCCTTTATATTTGATAGACTTTTTTTTTAAAAAAAGAGAACTAAAAGTTTATTTTACTTGTTAATTTAAATACATATAAATAATGAAAAGAGTTTGAAGAACTTTTGACCTTTTTAAAAATATGTTTTTATTTATTTCAGAGAGGAAGGGTGGGAAAGAAAGATAGAAACTTCGGTGATGAGAATCATCAACAGGCTGTCTCCTGTGCCTAGCCTTAGAAGATATATCTGCAAAAATTTTGCTACAAGAAATGTCCGTGATTTTACTGGTTATATTTTCATCTGGGATATTTCTGATTTCACAACTTCCATTTAAGTCTATAATGCACTTTGAGTTTAATCCTGTATATAGTGTAAATTGGTGTTTTAGTTTCCTTTTTGTACATGTATCTGTCCAATTTTCCCAACACCACTTATTGAGGGGCTGTCTTTACCCCATTGTATGCACTTGTTCTTTGGTCAAATATTAATTTATCATAGAGGTTTATTGCTGGGCTCTCTATTCTGCTAATAGTACAATGTACCAACTTCAGTTTACCGAACTATGTTTTTTCTCATACAATGAGGATTATGATCATGAAAGTATATTTGCTAATATTATTGAATAAAACACAATTTCTGATATCCTTTTCATTTCAAAGTCACAAATATTAAAGAATATTTAGATGAAATTGCAAATCCTGGTCTTTTCCACATTTATAGGAAACAAAGTTTTTCAGATAACAGCTCAGTTATTCTGCGGTAAAAGTTACCATGGTAACTTTTGTAGTAATTACAAGAAATAGATCATTACCTTAGCAATCACAGACTGATTAGTCCTTCTGGGAAACAGAAAAGGCAAACAATAGGCCCTACTTGTCCTTTTGGCCTTGCCATTCTTACACTGGATACAGGCAGTCCTCTGCTCCTCTCCGGGAAAGTTGTACTACTTACTACAGTGTTTCGCAAAGTGACTGCAATGCAAGTAACATTTTGGAAATATTAAACTAATATGGAACATTCTACACCTCCACCTCACTCCTTCCCAGAAGCTGAGGCCATTCCATCTAGAACAGGGGAGACTTAATACCATTTTAGGAAATACAATGTAATATGAGGGATCGTCCAGACACACTTAGAAGAGGCAGAGTCAGCCTTCTACATAGTGAAATGTAGGAATGAAAAGAGGAGGATCTGGAAGGAAGGAAAAGGTCAGGTACCAATATGTCTGCATATTTAAAAAGGTAACTGTGTAATTGAATCATTTGGAACTGTATGGAAGAATCCTATATAATAAAAGCCTAATATGCAAATCGACCAAACTGCGGAATGACAGGTGGAACTACTGGTCACTATGATGCACACTGACCACCAAGGGGCAGATGCTCAATGCAGGAGTGCCCCCAGCCCACAGGCCCCAGGTCAGCCAAGGTGGGTGCCAGTGGGGGCCCCCTGATTGCCCCGCCAGTTGCCCCACAGATCGGTCCTGATTGCCGGCCAGGCCTAGGGACCCTACCTGTGCACGAATTTTGTGCACCAGGCCTCTAGTCCATTAATATAATTGTTATTCCTTTTATATCAGGGCAGACAGGCCTGGGATTTGGGACTTAGAATCAGGGACTGCAAGCCTGTCTAGTTCTCCATTTGTTCTGTGCTTCATTCAACAGGACAGGTGAGTGATTTTCCATGATTTTAGCCGCCTGGCTTTTAGGCCAATAGTCATAGTTGATTCTCTTATCCATTGATGTAATAAGTAACATTTTCATAAATAAATGCATGCATATGTTACCTCATAATGTTATATGTTTTCAGATTATACTCCAGGAAGATCAACTAATAAGTGTATCTTTAATGTTGTTTGAAATGGCCAAATTACCCTCTTCAGAAGTCATGCTATTTTACATTCCCAGAAGTGATCATCTGACACCTTTTGTGTTTTTCAGTCTCATCAACAGGGTACATTGTCACGCTTTGGAGTTTTGCCAATCATATAGGTGAGAAATAATACAACTTTTGCTTTAATTTATTCTTAGTGAGACTGAATGTATTTTTATCTTCTTTTTTTTAAGTTTTTTTTTTTATTGCTTAAAGTATTACAAAGGGTATTACATATGTGTCCTTTTTTTTTCTTCCCCGCCCTTGACAATCCTCTGGCCCCCCCTACCCCCCAGTGTCTTATGTCCATTGGTTATGCTTATATGCATGCATACAAGTCCTTCGGTTGATCTTTTACCCCCAAAAGTTTATAATGGTCTCTATTATCCATGAATGTGTGAGATCATGTGGTATTTTTCCTTCATTGACTGGCTTATTTCACTTAGCATAATGCTCTCCAGTTCCATCCATGCTGTTGCAAATGGTAAGAGTTCCTTCTTTTTTACAGCAGCATAGTATTCCATCGTGTAGATGTACCACAGTTTTCTAATCCATTCATCTACTGATGGGCACTTAGGCTGTTTCCAGATCTTAGCTATGGTGAATTGTGCTGCTATGAACATATGGGTGCATATATCCTTTCTGATTGGTGTTTCTGGTTTCTTGGGATATATTCCTAGAAGTGGGATCACAGGGTCAAATGGGAGTTCCATTTCCAGTTTTTTGAGGAAACTCCATACTGTCTTCCATAGTGGCTGCACCAGTCTGCATTCCCACCAGCAGTGCACAAGTGTTCCTTTTTCTCCACATCCTCTCCAGCACTTGTCGTTTGTTGATTTGTTGATGATAGCCATTCTGACAGGTGTGAGATGGTACCTCATTGTTGTTTTGATTTGCATCTCTCGGATGATTAGTGACTTTGAGCATGTTTTCATATGTCTCTTGGCTTTCTGAATGTCCTCTTTTGAAAGGTGTCTATTTAGATCCTTTGCCCATTTTTTGATTGGATTGTTTATCTTCTTTTTGTTAAGTTGTATGAGTTCCCTATAAATTTTGGAGATTAGGCCCTTATCAGATATGACGTTGGCAAATATGTTTTCCCACGCAGTGGGTTTTCTTGTTGTTTTGTTGATGGTTTCTTTTGCTGTGCAGAAGCTTTTTATTTTGATGTAGTCCCATTTGTTCATTTTCTCTTTAGTTTCAAGTGCCCTAGGAGCTGTATCAGTGAAGAAATTGCTTTGGCATATGTCTGAGATTTTGTTGCCTTTGGATTCTTCTAGAATTTTTATGGTTTCCTGTCGTACATTTAAGTCCTTTATCCATTTTGAGTTTATTTTTGTGTATGGTGTAAGTTGGTGGTCTAGTTTCATTTTCTTGCATATATCTGTCCAATTTTCCCAACACCATTTATTGAAGAGACTATCTTGGCTCCATTGTATGTTCTTGCCTCCTTTGTCAAATATTAATTGAGCATATTGGTTCGGGCTGATTTCTGGGTGTATTTTTATCTTCTTAAGAGTCTTTTCCACTTCCTCTTGAAAACTGTCCATATCGTTGGCAATTTTCTCTCAGTTTTGGTTTCAATTTTTGTGTTTTTGTTGTTGTTGTTTCTGGGTGTGTGTTTTTTAAGTGAACATGTCCTCAAGTTTTCATTGTCACAATAAAACAAAATATGAAGCTTAGAACTGGATCACTTGACCCTTTCTCTTTTTATCTCCTCCCAGTTCAAAATGCTTGCATCTCTTAATAGCAAACATTCTCTTGGATCTGCATTTGGGCTCAACACACTCAAGTCTCAGCACAATCTTCTTTGTAGTTTTAGCCTTTTTGAAGAAAACTGGCTTAATGTGCCCACCATAGCCACTCTGCTTCCTGTCATAACACCGCTTTCCCTGCACAAACAGAGAATCCTTGTCCTTCTTGTACTGTGTTACTTTGTGGGGTTGATGCTTGCCACACTCCCTACAGAAGGTTCGGTGGGTTTTAGGAATGTTCACTATGTTTGCGAGAGCACTATCAGCAGGGAAAGCTTTGGTTTCAGTTTTTGAAAATATATATACATATACATATGTGTGTGATTTCCTTACAATTTGTTGTTTGCCTACTGACTTTGATTATGATTTTAAACAGAAGTGTTCCGATTTCACAAAGTGGACTTTATAACTCTTCCATTTATTGCTTTTGGATTTTTCTTCATAATTAGATTTCTGTGCTCCTTGGTTACAAAGTAATACATCTGTGTTCTTTCAGGCCTATCATTTTAAAAAATATTTTCCTTTTCAAACAAGTGATGGTCTGAGGTATTGATCTAATTTTATATTTTATTCTCCAAATAGTTCTTCAGTTGCCTTAAGTTCATTTATTTAAATGTCCATCATTTCCTTAGTGATTTGTCAACTTCCCACCATTGGTTTACCATTTTTATCATAGACTAAATTTTATATGCATTTAGTTCTAATTCTAGATTTTTCTTACTTCACTGTATCTTGCTTTCTTGATCTTGTGTCTTTTTATGCTATCTTGTCTTGAATATAAAGGCTGAGTAATATGTTTTAATACTTCAGAGATTAAGACTCCTCTACTGTTTGTCTTTTTCCCCAGGAGTCTCTTGGCTATTCTTGCTTATTACTTTTTCCATGTGTACTTTAGAATCAACTTGTCTAGTTCCAGGAAAAGAAAACTAAATTTAAAAAAAAGATGCGTTTTGTATTCAAATATGGTTTACCTTATAACTGTATCATGAGTGAGAGAACTGATATTTTTTATGATACTGTATTCATTAGCATATAATATTTTTCCATTTATTAAATCTACTTTTGAGACTGTATTAAAATTATACCCTGATGGTTTATGTTTCTTGTCAGTCTTAGATAGTATTGTAAATGGACTTTTTCTATTATATCTTCTAATTGGTGTATTTGAGATTTAGATGTGAAGGCAATTGATTCTTTTTTTTTTTTTTAAGCTGTGATGATAGCAACAGCACATGTTCAAAACAGTTCTTTGACATTTTATTTCACCCTTTTTCAGTTTTTAAAAAGTTTGTCCTGTAGTACCAGGTGCTTTTTTATGATGAAATAACCAGGTTACCTGGAAACATGTTGATCCATTGGGTTTAGTCTTTAAACTTTGTTGGTGGGATCAAAGCTACATTTCTTCTACAGTTCTAGGGTTAAATTATGCCCTTCCCTCTCTTTAGGAAAGACAATTCTCCTAGTCTAATCAATTCCCACTGGTTTATGAGTTTTCCCCTCTGGCTATCAGGTGAAGGCATTTTTCACAGCCCTGTCTGAACTACAGACACTGTTCCCTCTAGTCCTTTCAGGGTTTATTTTTTCCCTAGTCTTGATTAACTTTGTCATATGTATTTCCTTATTAGTACTCAACTGATTATGTGATTGGAACCCCCTGCCTAGCTCCAGGCTCCTCTCTGGGTAACGTGCTATGGGGAGTGACATTTCAGTTGAAGATCAGTGGTGCTAATGGTTGGGAAAGAATCATAACAGATAAGTGGCAACCCAAGTTCTTTAAGCCAACAATATGGCACTGAACCAGAATCAGGAAACCAAGTTCTATGTCTGGCTTTGTTCCAAATTAACTTTAGGCAAGTTCTTAGCCTTTCTTGGCACATTTCCTCATATGTTAAAGGATCTCTTCAGTTCCCTCAAATTCAAAATTATTCTATGATGTAATGCAAATAAATACATACTCTTTAGCAAGACATATGCGATGTATACTCTAGAATATCTTCCTCCAAACTTCTTTTTTAATCCTCACCTGAGGATATTTTTTCCATTGATTTTTTTTTTAAAGAGTGAGTGGAAGCGAGGCGGGGGGGAGATGGGGGAGAAGGAGAGACAGAGAGAGAGAAGCGTCCATGTGAGAGAGACACATGGATTTGCTGTGTCCCCATACACACCCTGATCTAGGGCCAAGGTTCAAACTGCAACACAGATATATGCCCTTGACTGGGAATTGAACCCATGACCCTCCGGTGCAATCAGATGAGCCAATGCTCTACCCACTGATCCATGCCAGCCAGGGCCTTCCAAACTTCTCATTTAAGGTTATTTCCTTCAATTCTAAAATATAAATTTGAAATTGATATCAAGCAAGTACTAAAGATGGAAGTCTATGACCAACAGAGTCTCCAACTATTATTTTCTATGTGATTGCCTGAATACATAAATAAAATATACTTGTTACTCAATGGCACTTCCTGTTACGTTTCTAAGACCTTTGAAATTTACACTTTTAAAATCATTGCCTCTTTTCTCTCCCTCAAATACTGTCAATGTGGAAAATAGAAAAAAATTATCTATTAATTCTAAAAATGATTATTTGCATCTTGAAGATTTCACTGAAATCTAATATATTTAACATGAGAATCAGACATCATATCATTTTTTAAATCTCCTGAATAGGTTTTTACACAGTATTAGTGACATCTAATTATTTAAACTTGAAATTCAAAATTATCTGTATTTGACAGATATTTCCAGAGCTATAACATTACATGGATTGCTTATAAAATATTTACTAAAATTGAATTGCTTATAAATTATAATTCAACACAATCGGGGGGAGGGGGGAAATAAAAATATCATTTTGAAAGATTTTCCTTAAAAAGACATCTCTTTATGTAACAGTTTCAGTGTGTTTCCTTGACAACATCATTGCTAAGAAAGTCTCTTGAGGCAATAAAGAATCTGGTAAATGATTGATGTCTACTTTAAAAATAGAATGTGAACATGCCATGTGTAGTTAAACATGTCACTATAGTCATACAACCAAGAATTAGTTGCCAACATACTAGTTAAAGCTGTGTTAAATGATTACTTAAAACAATAAAATTCAACAAACATGAAATTTTGAAAATTAGAAAAAAATAATAAATTCCAGAGTAAACAGATGTACTAATGCCACTGGTACTTTTCTTAAAATACTTTTTTATTGAATTTTAGAGAGAGGGGAAGGGAGAGGGATAGAGAGATAGAAATATTGAAGAGAGATATACATCATCGATTGGCTGCCTCCTGCATGCACCCGCACTGGGGATGGAGCTTGCAACTCAACTCGGGCATGTGCCCTGACCCAGAATTGAACCAGTGACCTCCTGGTTCCTGGGCCAATGCTCCACCACTAAGCCACACCAGCCAGGCACCACAAGTACTTTAAATGTAATTGACACATTTAAATTGACATAATTTTCTTAAACCAAATTTAGCATTCATTAAGGTGTTCATTCATTCATTAATGAGCTGTGAACTATACTAGGTGCTGACTTTAATTGGTAAAGCCTCCTTGGAAAGTAATAACTAGAGAAAGCAGCATCTTCTCTGAGTGGCATAGAGAATCAACATTCTGCCTGCATCTCATACTTAACATATTAAGACAGGGAGATACTTCAAAAGATTACTTAGTCCCTTCTCCTGCCACAAGGGTGGGACTAACAACCATCTGTTTTCTAGATAACTTCCCAAGAATTGCTCTAATGCTATAGTCTAATATTTAATTTAACATATGTGGTTGATATTCCATTTTGGAGTCATAAAAATATATTTAAAAAAGCTGAACTTTCCAATTGTGGGAGGAAATGTAGCAAGAATATATATTTTTCTTTAGATAAATTTTTTTAAAAAGCACATGCATGGCTTATTTAATTCACTACAGCTGGATGTTAGCATCCAAATGATTACATTTCAGCACACTTTCCTACAGCTAGAACTGATCATCTGATGCAATAATTACAATGTGCAAAGACCATCACCCCAAATTAGGAAGCGGGCCTACTGTTTGCATTATAAAATGAGATAAGATGACACTGGCCTACAATCACAGCTCTAAAATCACCTCAAAGTGTAAACTAGTCAAGATGATGCAGTGATGTCACACTTCATGAACCCTTTCTAATCCAAAAGAGAGAGATGTGGGTAAAATATAAAAAGAGAAAGAACATGAATTTAAATACATTATATACCTCTCTATCAATCTGAAATTGACACAATGCAAATTTCTTGTGTCCCAAATTTTGATGCTGTCAGAGGAATTTTTAAAATTCTCCACACAAAAAGTAGGGTCCTGGATCTCTATCCCAAACTTCCACCGGATTGTGAGAAAGGACTATAAAAAAAAAAAAAATGCTACTGAATGTTGCCAGGAGCTCCAGGCTTAGTGTGGCTGAAACCAAATCTTTAAATGGCTTTTCTATCAGCAACTAGAGAACACGGTTTGGGATGCAGTCAAAAGAATTATCCAAGATAAAAAGATAATTGTTCTCAATAGCAAGTCTGAGTTCTAAGACCATTCATTGGCATCCATGAAACTGGGACTAACCTGGCAGCTTGGGGGCAGGGTAAAACCCCAGTATCTTACAGTTCTTGACAGTCACCTCTTTATTGAGTTTATATTCTACAATCTGGATTCATACTTACTAATAATATCATGCTTCCTAGTGCCCTTCAACTGAAACATCAATGAATTTTTCCATCTGCTCACAACCCCTATTGTATCCCAAGAACTCTTTTTTTAAAGTAGTATTTTTATTTACTGTTTTAGTTAATAGCACTTATTAAATGTTTATAATGTACCAAGTATTCTTTTTGCAAATTTATAAATATGCACTCATTTAAGTAATAAGGGGCCTAAAGTAAGATGGAGGCATCACAGGTTACATCCTGGGAGTAAGTCAGAGTAAGGTACACAAAAGGACCCTGGCTATTTGGAAGGTGGATAATTGGTGGTTTCCACAGTGTTTACTAAGCATCTGCTATGTGCCAAACACCCTTATCTATGTAGGTGAAGAGCAATCACTACACCAGAGAGAAGAGAGCTCTAAATTTACACAAAATCCCTCTAATTACTCTTATGCTTTCATCAATAATGAATTGTTTATAGGTCTCATTATTGGATCAATCATTCTCAAAAAAATCTTAATAGAGTTCTGTGTTTAAGAATCCCCCTAAGAATTTTTAAATATGGATGTAGATAAATAGACAGCTAGAGCTATATAGATATAAATAGATCTAGATATAGAGAGACATACATAGAGACATATATAGGGATATAGGTATATAAAATATAGATTTTAGATATATAGATTTTTATACATAGACTAGGGGCCCGGTACACAAAATTCGTGCACTGGGAGGGGGGGGGGTCCTCAGCCCAGCCTGCCCCCTCTCACATACTGGGAGCCCTCAGGGGATGTCCTAGTGACGGCTTAGACCCGCTCCCTGCTCCCCTTGGGGATAGGGCCTAAGCC